TTCCTTCCTTCCTTCCTTCCTTCCTTCCTCTTTCTTTCTTTCTCTTTCTTTCTTTCGTTCTCTCGTTCTCTCTCCACTAGTTATTACTTTTTTAATAATGGGTTAAGTCTCAGTGTTGCTGTTTAAATTTTTGGTTACTTGAAGTACCTCAAAATTCAGCAGTTGCTATAGGAGCACTGTTTAAGGTCTATCAATACATTAGTCAGTCCTATAAAACACAAGTAATTTAATAGCATATAACTGAAATCTGCCAAAATATACAGTAATCTGTTGGAAATCTGGAGTTATATGCACATGTGTCAGTGTGAGTCAATGAATGATATATACATTAAAAAAAAATGTAGAAACACATTTTTACTTGGAAATGCCTTGTGGAACAAGCTTCACAGTATCTCTGAACATTTTTAAAGGGAAAGACATAAAAGATAATACACAGGATAACTTGCAGAATCAGCCGTGCACTGTTCAAATGGCTACAGGAATTTTTTGCGTCAGTAAGTGATAGCACCTCCCTGAAGTGATCAGAAGACTTGGTAAGAATGAAGGGTCATCATCACAGTGAGTAAAATGTTGCAATCCAATTTGATTTCCAGGAAGTTTTATTGCTTCGTTAGTTTTCTTATTGCTTTATCATTTCAGCTTATTAAACCAGCCAGAATTTAACTCCATTTAAATATATATATATATATATATATATATTTTTATATATATTTCTGCCATTTAGATAGTACAGAAGAAGGTTAGATGTGCATCAGAGATGGTACACTGAGAATGTGGGGGAGGCAACAGGAGGGTACAAGAAGGAGCTTTGTAGCTCCCCCCATAACTTTCATAATGGTTTGTAGAGGGTACGTATGCAAATTTGCTCTTTAATTTTTGCTGGGTTTGAAAATCCCCACTAACCTAGCATAAAGGCCTAACCATGTCAATAATGGTTACAATAAGGTTGTTATATATATATTTAAAAAAAAAAAAAGTAGTCTTTTGTAGGTAACTCTGCTTCTAAGAGCTTATGAAGTAATCAGGTTTTTTGTTTCTTAGGGCTGTAAAGCTGTAACGCTCTTGATCAAGGAGTCACTTGTTGGGTGAGAAGTGCTCTCATTCCTGAGTGGAGTGCAGCAAGCTAGATTTCAGTTTCCAGTGTTCACGCTGGTTAAAATATTCCCATTCTGTAGTGTTAATCTATTCTTTAATAGTCTGGCTCTGGACATCGAAACTCACTGTAGGATTTTTTTCCACCCGGTTTGAGTCACAGCATTTTCAATTATTTAGATAGAAAACAAACAAGCAAGCAACAAATTGCTTAGTTTCACAAGAAGATGGAAACTTTCAAATAGGTTCATGGAGCACAGATCCTTTTACAGTGAGGATCTCAGGAAAAGCTTCGAAATAAAGTGCACTTCATATTCAGGGTCCTTTTGACGCCCGCACTAGTCACCAACAGAGCTGTGAAGTCTTTTAAATGCTTATTTTATATACAATTGGCACACAGCTCGGTTAAAACAGCTCATTTTTCATCAGAGATATGAAAAAGCATAGAATAAGCATGTGGATTTCTTTTATAAGGATTGCATTGGCTATTGGAGTACCATTGAAAAAAGACAGCTACATTTCAGTACTTAATGTGACTGTAATAACTGCATGGCCACAAACCATTAGGTTCTTCAGCTGATAGGTGATTAATTTCCAGGGAACATATGTTAAGAGAATAACATATTTCCCCAGACCTCCTCCCCAAAAGGATCTTACAAAGCAGTGTAAATGCTTTATAGTTACTGACAGAAAAAGCTGAAAATTCAGAAGAATAAGAATTAAAAAAAATATTCCAGCAAAACTACTTCTAGTGTCTTGGACACTAGAGGAAAAACAAATATTCCCACAATTTCTGGAAAGTTCTGTTAGGTATACAGTGGTCATGAGGAAAAAAATAATTGCAGCTAACTTACTGTGAGCATGAAATGCACCATCGTTTTTCCCTGACTTCTGAAACTGAGTAATGCAGGTTCATAAAATGACTATAATTTCTTAAGAAAACTTGCTTAAACTCCTTTGAAATAAACAGAAAAGTCATTATGCTGGCCCCTCCCACATCCTTATAGGAGCTCAGTGCTCAAGCTCATCCGTGGAGTCTGATGCTGAGCCTGGGGAGGTCAAGTTGAGGATCAAAAATTTTCTGCTCAGACTCTTCAGAGAATTTAGCTGCCAAGTACTAACAGGTCTTCAATGACCATCTGCAAACTGAGATTTGGTTTTTCCGCTCTCTGAAGCTTATACATTTTTTACATTTGGATGGGTTTTCTTAGGGAGAGCTAAGTGTAAATCAGTGATGACATGGTTATTCTCCTGCCAGTTTCCACATCCCAGCTCCAAATCTTAGAAATGATGAATTTCATAACAAAAACAGTTGTCAGGATTCTTTTAATCTTAGCTCTAACATTTTCACTAAAAATTTTCACCTACTCTGTTCCTCTAAAAAATTAAAAAAAAAAAAAAAAAAAAAAAAAAAAGCAAACCAAATCCAGGAAACAAAATTAGTCTAAATAGTTTATATTTGACAATTTATGAATGTGCGTGTTTGTGTCTGTCTGTCTGTCCAGGTTGGATATCATAATGTTACAGTGCTGTCTACAGTGTTATTGTGCAAGGACATTTCAACAGGGTTTTCAAGGCTGTCTTATGTCAAAGCAAATGTTTGAAAAATAGTGAACAACTAAATCTGTCTTTAAAACTCGCTATTTATCGTGTAAGCTTTCAACATATGGACTTAAATATCAGTATCAAAGTCATCTATTTCACCTGTCCCATTACAGAAGTATATGTAACAGCTATAAGAATATAAGGGTTATATAAGATTGTATCCACTATTTATGTATTATTGTATCCAACACATATGTCCTTTCCATATGGGATGTTCTCACTGTACAGAACATGGTAGGTTCCAAGTATAACTCAACAGAAGCATTCAACCTTTGATTTTAAAACTGTTATCATCTCCACTTCAACAACCCACGTTGAAAGGAAATTCCAGATTGTGGGGGAGAAATGGCTGCCAATCTGAATAAGGAGGAACATCGTCAGATGGCAGGGAAGTATTTGTACTAGTTGTATTAACAGAAGCAATGACCTTTACACACTCCAAAACAAGCCATATGGGCCTTGGATCACAGCAACCGTTTGTCAAGCAAAACTCCTGAATCATTTCAAGCAGTGTTCAAACACAGTCGTAAGAAGCCTGAACACAAAACGTTCTTCTAAAATGCCTTGCTGAAAGAGGGGAGATGCACCAGATTTCGAGGTAACTGCTATTTAAGCCTTCAAATCCTAAAGCAAAATTTTTTTGCATAAATTTTGGCCTATCCATTGTTGGGGATGAAAAACAGATGGGCTGCAGTTTAGCATTGCAGCGAGAATCCAAATTCAATTCTCTGGCTTG